ATTCACTAGTCCATTAACTAGTGAATGAATAAACAACCTCTAGTATATTCATACCATGGATGATAACTGGGCAATAAAAAGTATAAACAACATACAATGACATAAATGAATCTCAAATGCATTATGCAAACGTGTTATAAATATCAACATTTTTTAAAAACTGCTACATAACTTTGAAAATGAATCAGGTGGGGTCAAACTATTATACTAATTTGAGACCCACAATCATCCATTTGAAAAATATATGAAAAGCACTTTATCTTTAAAAGTTGGAAATTTTAAAACATGGCTCCTTCTCCCAGAACTCCTATTTCCATTCCTCTTACTCCACAGACTTTTAATCTAATGGATACATGTTATACTCAAAAGCCTTTTTTATTCATGACCTTTTCATACTGCCATGCAATAAAAACGTGTATAAATTAAAATTTAATGTTTACATTTACTGTGACCATAAGACACTAGGAATAAAAGATATAATAATAATAATGAATATATAAATAAATACATTGAAACTATTGATAAATGCACAAATTTTATTGATAAATATACAAAATTCTATAGGTAATGTATATAAGTAATGCATCTCTTAATGATATGTGGGTACATGAGAATAAAAAGAGTTTTGTTATATGTATGTCACTTGGTTCTTTGAACTTCTAGTAAGTTGCCCAAAATCAAATAATACCCTATATTATTTTATACTCAAAAAGTGTACTCAATAATACTCAAAATTATTTTAATGATTTAATTCAAATATTAATTAATATCTTGATTAAACCCTCTTTCAATTTTTATAAAAGCATAGAATTCAAAGCCTGATACTTACAAAAGAATTTGTTTCCTAGTAATTAGAATAATGATTACAAATCACAAGTGATTTTCTTAATTTCTGGAGTTTATCAAAAAGGCTTTACCAGCATTTACCAAATGATTAATAATGTTGTTAATTATACCCATTACTCTTTTATTTAGACGTCTTATTTAATCTGATACACTCTGTTAAGTGTTGGAAAGTTTGAATACTATTAACTTTGATAGACCGTTGATCATGCAGTTTTTAGCAAGTGCCTTTATCTTATTGCATGCTTTACACATATGTTTTTTTGAAAGCTTAGATGCTAAAGATTGAACTCACTGTATTTGTGGAAAAAATGTTAACTACATCAACTATTGGCAAAGTCAGTCCTCAATGAGCCAAATCAGACTTACTTTCCCCAACAACAAAAAACTGACTTTATCGGTCAGTTGAAATAAATGTTTTAATACACATCCTTGCAGCAACCACTGAACTTCTGAATTCAGGGAGCTAAAAGCACAGTGGCTTACCATGACTTTGTCACCTGAATGAAACAAGGCATTGACCCCTTAGTATTTCTTACCCACACTTTCTTCACTTTCCTCTCATGGGAAGCATCCTCAGGAAAATGCATTCTCAAATTGTCCCTTTGTTTGAAACTCAGAAGTTTCTATACTTGGGAGAAAGGCAAGAGGTAGGTAAGAGTATGCCCCCTCCCCTTTTCAAAGAAAAAGAAGAACTTTACGAAAGAAGACAAAAAAAGGAGAATTGCAGACTGCAGGCTTTTTCTCAGGCAGATCAATTTTAGGAAAAAGTAAATGTGGAATTTAAGAACTAGGACATAATGTCCTTAAATCTAGCTTTGCCCATGCATCCTCTGGAAAAATCTTCCTGTGTCCTCCATGTTATGGGTACGCCAGCAGGAACAGGACTGATGTAGCTGAATCCACTCATTTTTCAAATGTGTGGACAGAGATAAAACCAGCTTAATTGACATAGTGAGTTGATGATGGAAACTGGACTCAGTCAAACTCTGTTCATTCCTGTTTGTTGTTACTTCTACAGCACCCTTGTGCCTGTGTCTTCCAGGTCTGCCCTAGTTCCCCAGGGTCACCACCGAGCAACTCCTCCATTCACGTTTGTTGGTTCCCCCATAGGACCCACGTTTGATAGTCTCTTGCCCAAATTCCTCTCTAAGCAAAGTGGATTCACTCTTTTAATGTTGCCAGATTCAGCAAATAAAAATACAAGATGACCAATTAAATTCGAATGTCAGATGAACAACAAATAATTTGTTAGTATAACCATGGTCCTTATACTAACATGGGATATATTTATACCAAAAATTTATTGCATGGGATATATTTATACCAAAAATTTTAACTAGACAGCCTGTATTATTTTTTGAAATCCTATTAATGTGTGTCCCTCCATCTACCTCCATCCCAGAAGCTCTGCTTCCTACTAACGACAACAGGCTAATCTGATCAACTAATTCTTAAGACTCAGTTAGTATGAGTTACCAGGTTAAAGGGTCAAATTTAAACCAAGAGGGTGACTTGATCTTAAGAATTTAAAGCACCAGAGGGCTTTTGGTTAATCTGGGGGAAACTGAAATTATGATTCACAGTCTGACTAGGGAACTCAAAAGCTAAAAATGTAATAGATACCATTTTTTTCATTCACTATATTAATTGTTGACTAAACATATAAAGCATTGATTATATGGCAGTCACCATGCTTTACACAATAATTTAATTAATTCTCACGTCTATGAAGTGAGTGTTATTACTATTTCTTTTAATTAAAAACTGGAGCTCGGAGAGGGTAAGTGACTAAGCTGGTAAGTAGGGGACACAAGACATGAACTGAGGTCTCACTCCAAACACTAAGGTTTGATCATTCCATACCACTTCATATAAAAAAAAGATATAGTTTTAGGCATCCACATAGTATGGCTCAGGACATATGGAGAGGATTCTACCTCTTTCTCAGTGTCTGAAGTTCCGTGAATAATACAGATGCATACTTTGGCATAAAGACATATTCTTTCTCTCTGTTCCCTGCCCCCTTCCTCTCTGCCCCTCTCTCTTTCTTCTTCTCTTGCTGTTTTGAAATTTATTTACTTCGACAGGTAATACAGTAAGGTATTATCAGTTCTTCACATCATAAAAACAAACAAACAAAAAAATGTAAGAACCAGGAAGAAAATGGAGATATGAATGAGTGGGGGAAGGTCATCTATTTATGTGGTCGTCTGGGAGTATCATAGGCCTGGGTAACCCAGAAGGAAAAAGAGGGATCTCTGTTCACCCAAGGTTGTCTGGGATCTTTTTGTGCTCCTGAGGCACTAAGACCCAGTGCGATATGCCCACGCTCTCCTGAAATCTCATACCATTAGTTTCTTGTCACCAGTTGCTCACTAGTACCTGGGCAAACCAGCTCTGCAACTGTTCCAGACAAATCTCTGTGATGATCATATGTGTATTCTCACCCAGGAGCAAGACAATGGGTGAGTGTCTTGCTCCTGGGTAGACAACGTATGGAGCCATGGCAGAGTGTGGAGTCACTGGGAGGGTCCTGGGACTGAAAGTCATGCCCTACTTGTCACGTGACCACGGTCAAACCCCGTTCCCATGATGCATCTCAGTTTTCTCTTCTGCAGACCGAAGGAATTGGTGGGTTATCGCTAAGGTTCATCCCAGATGCTTTGTGTCTCTCTTTGGCCTGTGCCTAACCCCTGCCCCTCTTCTCATCCCACACAGGCACCTTCGTCTCCACAGTACCACCTTCTCCTGGAGGAACGGAACTCTCCTGCTGCTTCTCTCCCTCCCTTTGAATCAGACATTTGTGTCACCATACGTAAGAGTCAAGGGTGGGTTCAGAAAAGTAGCAGCCACTCTTTGTTAGCAGACATTCTTGGCACTGAAGGTTAGACATGTGGCAAGGACTTGTGTCTGATGAAGCCACTTCTACTGTGGCTTCAGAGAACTAGCTCTACTCACCCACCTTGGGCTCTTCATGTCCCTTCTGCGACCTGCTTCACCCCTCCTCCCAAATTATTTCTCTAACGTTTCCAGGTATGTGTCTTTTCCAAGTTTAATTTTTAAAAATTAGTCAGTCACTAGACAGGAGCGTGAGGCCTGGCAGAGGATCAGTGAGGAGGGTGCTGGAATAATCGAAGCAAAAGATGGGAGGAGTCAGGTGCTGATCCGGGGCAGTCGTAGTAAAGAGAGTGAAGAGATGGAGTTTGGAGAGAGATTTAGAAGATCGAATTGACCCAAGTCCATGACTGAGAGGATGCGGGGTTGATGGAGAAGGAGGAGCAGATCTCAAAGTTCTGATAATAGACCGGGGGACTATTGATGTCAAATGTCGAGATGAGAACAGAGAGAAGAAGGCGCTGCTTAGGCATGGGGAGACATTGGTTCGGTTTTCAACATGCTGCAATGGCGCTGCTTACAAGCCGCCCAAATGCTGTTTACCCCAGACGGTTGGAGAGAAGTTTTTACCCTGGAAGAGAAGATAGGTCTGGAGGGAGATAAGGGAATCACAGTTGGGATCGTTGCTGGAATGGGTGTGATCATCTAGGAAGTATGCGTTGAGTAATGACAGGAGAGGATCTAAGACCAGAACTCTGGGCAGTGTCCCCAGTAACAGCAGAGGACCCTCTGGTGTGTGTGTATCATGGAGGAGACGGTACACACAAGGTAAGTGGCTGAGAACAGCTGACAGCAAGGAAGGAGGATTCTAAGAGTTCAGGGTGACAGTGGGGAGAGGAACTTCAATGATTAAAACCCCAACAAAAGTTTAAATGGCCTCTCGAAAATAGGAGACAGGAAGAACTGGTTGGAGTCAGTGCTAGTGAGCGGGAAGTTTGTCTTCATAATCCCAAGGTTTCTAAGCCTCTTTACCTATTGGGAGGTGTTCCGGTGTGATTTGCTTAACTCTTCCTGTGGCCAAACCTAGAAAAGTGGTTTCCAAGTAGTAGCTTATATTATGGTGCCCAGATGGCTGCCTCGGGATCACCTGAGGCACTTAAAAAAATCTGAGTCCCTAGGCCTCACTTTCTAGAGATTTTGATGAAGTCCATAGTCTGTTTGCTAAAAGATGCACAGATGATTCGAACGTACACTCTAGATTAGAAATCATACACTCTTAGCTTCAGGCTGTCCTTAGCTTCAGATGCCTTAAGGGTGCAATGAAGGGTAAGAAATACAGTTGGAAAGTACTAAAAGTCTCAGTGGCCAGTTCTCGGGGGACATGTGGGGCTTCTGGAGTGAGCCATGAATTGGAAATCTCACGTATTATCCTAACTGACCTCAAGTTTTTAAAAAACATCTGAAATTAGGAGGTTATACTAATGATTACTTTGGAGTTTCCAATTCTAAACTTCTGTTATTCTAAGACTCAGTTGTATCCAAAAGCGTCATGCTTCTCTGGTCAGGTTCCACTGGAGAGAGGCTCAGCTTAGAGTCACAGAGCCACATGAAGCACTATATTATCTTTCTGGTACAGCATAACAATTACCTATAGGTGAGAAGTCTGACATGGTGTGTCTGGGTTTTCTGCTCAGATTCTCACCAGGTTTCAGTCAAGATCGCAGTTCTCAGTTGGGACTCAGGGTTCTCATCTAAGCTCACTGGTTATTAGCAGTATCATTTCCTTGCAGTTGTAGGACTGAGGTTTCCTTACTGGCTGTGAACTTCTAGCAGCCACCCTCATTCCTTGCCACTTAGCTTCCTCCCTCTTCAAAGCTGCTAGTAGCATGATGGATTCCTCTCTGGATACTTCAGATCGGTCTGACCTCTTCTTCTCTACCAATCAGGGGGAAAAAGCCAAAACTCTTCTTTTTAAAGGACTCAACACATTGGATCAGGCCCACCTAGATCATCTCTGTATCTTTTATTTATTATTATTATTATTATTATTTTTAGGCGAGGCAACCCTTGGTTGGCCTCACAGATTGTAAGGACCTTGTCAGCTTACAATCCCTTATTATTTTATTTATTTATTTTTTTACGCCTACAGCACCTGGTCTTCCTAGGTGGTCTCCCTTCCAAGTACTAATCAGGCCTGACCCTGCTTAGCTCCCGAGATCAGATGGGATGGGGCTTGTTCAGGGTAGCATGGCCGTAGACCTTAATCTCTGTATCTTAAGGCCACTTGACAGGACTTTAATTCCCTCCACAAAATCCCTTCACGGCAGTACCTAAATGAGTGTTTGATTCAAGAACCAGAGGACTGGAATCTCAAGGGTGCAATTTTAGAATTCCACCTACTCTAAGCCCTGAAATCAGGAAGCCATGTCTAGCCCTAAAAAAGAAAGGTAAAAACCCCATATCTGCTAAGCTCTTAGCATGCGTCGGGCACTGTGATAAGTGCATTATACGCATCGTCCCACTTCATTCTTACAAGCAGTCTGTAAGTTAGAGATTGTCATTCTCATTTCACAGTTGGGGAACTTATAACTCAGACAAAGGAAGACATTTCTGTCCCCCGCACCCCAAGATTATTTAGCTAGTTGTGTTGGAGTCAGGCTCCCAAGCCAGATCTGTCTTACTTATAAGTGCTCCTTCCTGCCGTGATTTCCTTCCCCCTTAGAGGTAATTTTGAAGTCGTAGAGTGGGACTCAGGTTGGTCTTGAGCTCACAAGGAATCAGGGGCCAAAATCGGGCCTCCTGACTCCTACTTCCATGATATTTCCACCACTCCTCACTAATTAATTTTCCTTGTCTACTAAGATATTAGAGACAGAGGAGCTAGGAATTCAAATATTAAGTTTCAAAAGGAGAGAGGATCTCTTAAATTTAAGACAGAGTGCTTGGTGTCTATTTAAGAAGCTTCCCCTCTAGTTCTACCCACGCACAAATTCCTCTCTGAATGGGCTAAGAGTGGAAGAGGCTACACCTAGTCCCTAAATATTGAAGGTTAAAGGTAGAGGACAGGGCCGAGAGAGTTTTCCTATTCACCTTGGCCGTGGGAGAAGACCTGAAACTCTCAAGGGATGTGAATTCAGCCACGTCTTTGTTGCAGAGAAACCAGGAAAGTGCCTTAAGGAGAGGATCAGCTGTAATGGTAGTGTTCCTGACTTGTGCAGTGTGGACTCTGACTGTGGTGGATTCCTGAAGTGCTGCTCTTTCGCCTGTGGGAAAAAGTGCATGGATCCATACAAAGGTAGAGACTTCCAGGCTGAGGGCGGAGGTATCTTTCGAGGTGTCCTACTTCCTGCCCGGTCCAGAACTGGCAGAAAGATGCCCTGGGGTGGCAGGACAATGAAGCCATTGTTCCTGCTTTTCTCCTTCTCTAATTAGAGTCCCAACTCTCAAGTACATGCTCATTATGTGTCAAGAGACTGTGATTTGCACTGTGGCAAATATAAACCTCAGTCAGCTGAGATGCTGGAGTTGTTGTTGGACTGATCTCCAAGGAAGTTTTCGGGTAACTCAAAGTATTGAGCATCTAATAATAGGGAAGAGTGCATTTTTACATCCATTCAACACATATCTACAGTCAATGTCCTTTGGCCAAAGATTCTGATATGGCGTGAATGATTCTAAGACCCATGGAACCAATAGAGATTAATTATCAGCCTTTATTAGCCGGCCGGCGACTGACTCTTTACCACGCAAGGTTAGAGAAGATCAGACCCCAGCTTCCAGAGGAGGCAGCATATAAAGCCTCCAACTACATCCTTGAATAAGCAAGCAAGCAGATTACAAGAAGCAGAAGTTAGCCGTTAACGTCTTGTACAAAAATAAATGTATCCGGGGGACTCTCAGATCAAACAGGGCCTAGTAGACAGTTTTATTACTTGCACCTCGGAATGTTGTGCTTCTCCTGGGGGCTGGCGCCTGGAGATATCACCTCCCTGTGACTGAGTTACTGCTTTTCCTGGGGGTTGGCGCCTGGAGATACCACCTCCCTGTAACTGGAGAATTTCCACTTTTACAACCCTTAGTAACATACCTGTAATTGAACAAGTTAGATTTATGACTCGTTGCAGTGAAGGAGAATGTTCACCATAGAGAACCTGAGGCATCTCAGTAAGAAGATACTAGAAAGAATTTACTATAGGATTGAAGCTTTAATTGGATAATTTCAGGGAGAGGCTAAGGAAATTGAAGTTTGCTCTAGATTAGGTGAGGCTGGAAAGTGGGACCAATTACTGTGAGTATCTCAGTGACTCTTATCTATGGAGAGGGTAGACTGAAGTGAGGTTAAAGCTGTAATTGGTAGAGAAGCACTGATCACTCACAAATGCTTGGTGTTTTGTGGGTTTCATAGTGATCCTTTTTTATTCTCACTTTATCATGGTCTCAGAGTGACCTGTTTCATGTGGATGTCCTGTGAGATGGCTTATGTCCAACCAGTCATGCAGGGCTGCTTTTTTTCTTTCTTGGTATTTCATTCTTTCTATGTTTCAGGCACTGCCTTAGGCACTTTGGATATAGTTGATGGACAAGTCTTGCCCTCTCAAAGTTCAGAGCAGTAGAGAAGAAAGATCAGCTCTGATGTATTCTCATATATTTGCCCCTCATCTTTGCAAGGTAGAAATGATGCTCAGAGATGCTATGCAATGTAGAGTATTCATAGTAGAGCTAGGACTAGAATGTTTACTGACCATGGCTCTTTTTATAACTTGAATGGTAACACCACGAACTATACAAAGGCTGAGGGTATGACCACTCCCCTCCCTACCTTTTATGTTCTCCTCTCTTTGCTTCCTGCCTTCAGAACCCTGCATGCAACCTTTAAACCCAGGAGACTGTAATGATTCTTCAGTGCGCTGGTATTTTGACATACAAGAATATTTATGCAAACCCTTTAAGTACACAGGTTGCCTTGGGAATTCCAACAACTTCTTCAACAGGAAAGAATGCGTGGAAGCTTGCTTCTTTACTGGTAAGACTAATATTCTTGGCAATCTGAGGGCCTAGTCTAACTAAGAATAGGATACCAGCACGGGCTTTGAGGTTAAACTGCCTTGGTTCAAGTCTTAGCTCTGTCATTTACTGGTGGGTGGTCTCAGGCCAGTTGCTTGCCTTTTTGAATTTCAGTTTTCTTGTCTATAAAATGAAGATAATAATACTATTATCTAATGGAGTTGCGCCAAAAAATGAGATAGTGCACATAAAGTGTTAATAAACTTTGGCTAATGGGACCTGAGAGCCCAGCGTACCCCTTGGAAGCAGGTGTTTCCCCATCACATTGATCCATTGAGTATCACCTGAGGATTCACCAAGAATGAAGCATAGAGAGGCCAGCTCTGGAATCCCATGTTGTAGGGGTAGGGCATGGAATAGGTAATGAGTAGGGTGTGGTGAAGGTGAAGGGTGTGGATTCACTCTTTAGTATAATAACCATCACCAGTGATGCTGGGAGACAGGGTCCTACAGAGCTTAGGAGCCACATGACCTGGATTAAAATTTTACTTTTCCACCTGCTGCAAATTTCTTCACCTCTTTGAGTTGCAGTTCTCTTCCCTGTGATACGAGAAAAATAGCAAAGACCTAATTGAGTTGTTGGTGGGATTATATGTAATCAAGGACACAAAGATTTGACATGGTGGCTGTCCAATAGTGTGGGCTCGCTAAATGATAACAGTTGAGATGATGACCGTTGATCTTCAAAATGCAGCACCATGTTATTTACAAGGCAGCATTAGAATTTTGAACTCAGATTCTGTGAAGCAGGCTGAAAAGTTTCCCAACATCACTGCTTTACAGACGAGGAAACAGAGATGGAAAGTTAGTTGTCCAGAGGTTCACAATGGGCCAGGGTGGAACTGGAATTTTAATTCCAAGGGCACGGTGAGCCTAACTGGCCACGGCAGTCCTGACTTGATGAAACTATGACCACAAGCTTCCCTTGTGGGAGGCTTTAAAGAATCACATTGCAACGGACAAGACATTGGCCCTATTGCCGGGGCTGACAGCAACAAGAGGCTGGAAAAATGGGTTTGGACTGGTTTGTGGAAAATTAAGGTTTGGGGCTCACAGAGAACCTGACAATAGTTCTGAGAGTCAAACACACCACAGTCCGAATCCGACCTTAGGAAAAAGAAGTAAAAAGAAACACTTTCTGCCCCCATAGAATTTGCAGTCAAGGTAGGACAACAGGAGACACACACAGAATCTCGAAGAATTAATTTAAATACCATTTGTGTCCTAGCAACCCACAAAGTTGTATCTCCAGCCCGAATCTGACTCCCAAACTCCGACTGCTTACTCTGCACCTCCACGTGGCTCTCATACATACTGAACGTCTTATCTTTGCTGTCCCATCTCTTGTCATAGTTCTCCCCATCTTGGTTGAAAAACTTTCTAAATCACCCTTGATGCCTCTTTTTCTCAATCAACATCCATTAGATTAGGAAATGATTTTTATATCAACCTTGAAAATAGATCCAAAGCCCGATGGCCTCTTAACCACCTCCACAGCTGTCACCCTGATCAGAGGTGCCATCTTGTCACCTAGATTATGGCAACAGACTCCTAACAGGTCTCCCTGCTTCTATCTTTCCATATTCACAGTCTATTATCAACACAGTAGTCACAACAGTTCTTTCAAAATGTGAGCCAAATCATGTCATTCCTCATTCAAAGTAAAACCAAGTCCCCTAAAATGGATTACATTGATTTGCGTAGGTTTCACACAATTACTCCTATTTTATGGAGAAGAAAACCGATGTCATTCATTAAGTGGCAGGACTGGAACATTACCTTGGGGCTTCATACACCAAGCCTAACTCTTTCTACTACATCCCATGAAATGGTGAGGCATTTTATTCTTCTGCAGTCCACTAGAGGTGGGCAGGGTAGAATGAATCAAGTCACAGAGATACTAGTTTTGAAGAGAAAGAAAAGTTGTTTGAAGGGTGCTGGGATGGGGTGGGATTTAAAGGAGCTCATATCTGCTCTTATTTTAGTCAAGGAAGGACGGTGCCCATACTTCCCTTTCAACAACCATATGGACTGTTCAGATCCATGTAAGAGTGACAATGACTGCCCTGGAGCTGAAAAATGTTGTGGTTCCATGTGCGGCTTTGTTTGTGCCATGCCCTGGACAGGTGAGGACTGGGATATACCTCCCGAAGCCTGCTAGGCTGAGGCAGTCATGCTGTCTCCTAGGCTGACCTTAGAGGTCTTTTGGGAATCTTTACTCTTTTGATGTCCAATCAATATTCTCATGTCACCTTCCTGATCTTGGGAGACTATTGTGCTATTCTTCAAAGACTACCCTGAATGGTATCACTCTTCATTTTTCCCCATGAAAACTTATTTATCCTGAGTCTCATTGCAATGGCCTACAAGGTGACAGTATTGACATATTTATACAAAAACAAAAACAAAAACAGCGTAACCATTGAGTATATTCCTAATAAGCCCTTATGTCTGCACAGAACTTCAAAGCATACATAGCATATTCACATCCTGTAAGGTGTGCTGGAGAGAAGATTGGTAGCAAAATGCTGTTGGGATCAAAGTGAACTCTCCAGCATGTAGAGCTAGTGCTCATTCCCCCACATAGTGCTGAGATAGATAGTATGGTCTTGTCTCAGGGATTGTCAGTGTTTCGAGGTACAGCATGCATGGTGCAAGGAGTCAAAAGCTTTTCAACTGACTTTGACTTTTCTACTGGTTTTCCGTGTGGCCTTAGGCAACTCATTTCCCCCGATATTGTCCTCAATTTCTACAGTTTATAAAACAAGGAAATTCCGGGTAACCTCTGATACTCCTTGTACTTCTTGTGCTCTGGGATTAGATACCCCAAATTCACTAATTCTTGTAAGGGCAGGCAAGAATACTATCAAATTTTACAAGTCAGAAATGGCAAAGACTTTTTGATGCTTCTCAAATTATTAGCCATAGAAAGTTGATACTCTGCCTCCTTCACTCTATTGTTACTCTAGTAGGAAGGGTAAGAGGCTTAATCAGAAGAAAACATTGCTCAGCGTTTTCAAGATTCCCCCAATTTGTCTCAAACTGTGATCAAGTATTTCAAGATCAAGTGTCTTGTTTTATCCTATACAGCTAAAACAGGTTTCTGCCCACGAATGCCCTCAGTGTGTCCCAAAATTAATAAACCCGAGTGTCTGAAAGATGAGGATTGCCCACTGATGGAGAAGTGCTGTTCGCGTTGTGGACTGAGGTGCCTAGAACCCGAAAGCTAGAGAGTAAGTAAAAAATATTATTGTCGAAATAATTAATTGTGATTAGCATAATAAAAAAACAATCAATTTTGTCTTGTATCCAGCTATTCTGCCAAATTATCTTATTAAGTATAACGATATGTATAAAGTTACTTTGATTTTATATATAATCATATTATCTGAAAAATACTCATAAATTTGACTCTTATTTGTTCCAACTTCACGACTTAACTTTGTTTTCTTCTTATATTACGCAGAATCTCCAAAATAATGTTGGAAATAAAGGTGATGGCAACTATCCCTATGGAGTTTTTTTATTTTAAAGTCAATGTCTTCTGCTGTATAAAATGACATTTGTTGTTGGGTTTGGGTTGTTTCTTTTTTATTCATTTATGGCTGCTATTGGAAATTACTGCTGAATATTAGCAAATTCATTTTAGGCATCTAGTCATATAATAATTTTTCTCTTACAATTTGTTCATATAACAACTTACATTATTAAATGTTCATATGTCGAACCATCCTTGTATTTCTAGAATTACCTTAATCATATGGAGGTATACTTGTATTAATATGCTGTTGGTTCTTTTAGCAAATAGTTTATTTAGAATGTTCACATCTACGGTCAAAAGAAAAATAGGTATATGACTTTTATTTGTTCTGCTATTTGAGTCATACTACTTTCAAAAAAACAAGCATGGGAAACTAGTTAGGAAATTTCCTTACTTTTCCAATGATCTGCAATATTTTTAATAATATATCAATTCTCTGCTCCTTTAAGGTTAGACAAAGCTCCAAAAGCATCTAGATAAGGTTCCTTCTATAGTGGTGTATTTTAACTAACTTTTTTTTGTACTTCATTTTATAGCCTGTACAAGCTCTCTAAATCCCCTTCTGTAATTTTTGTCTTTTATATTTTGCTAAAATGGATCCCATTTTCTCTCTATTTTCAAATGTATTGTTTCAGAGTACTATATTCTCTATTTAATCCTTTTCATATCTTTACTTATGGTTAATGTTTTCATACATACATTCAGATTTCCACCCCCCCGCACCTATGCACCAGCCATTCAATCCATTTACTCACCTATCCATCCACTCATCTAGCCCTCTAACTGACATACCTTTCAACTTATCGATCTTCCCATCCATCTTTTCACCCATATGTCCATCCATTTACATTTTCACTCATCCTCCTTCTACCTTTGCTCATTTTAAATACAGCATTTCTTCCATCTACCTATTATCTACCTATCCATCTTACACACACACACACACAAACACGCACAAACACACACACAAACACACACACACAAACACACACACACAAACACACATTCTCTACCACCCATCAACATACTTCCCCATCATTTCTATACCATTTCCCCTTCATCTACCTACCAATTCACTCATCTATCTTCCATTTAAACAACTTCCATCAGTATACCCACTCATCCCATCAATAACCTAACCATCCTTATATTCAACCCAATCTACTTCTTCCTTCACCCAGCCATTCATCCATCCATCCTTATCCATGCACTCATGCACCCAATTATCCATGCTACCCTCACCCATCCATCTTCTTACTCATCCAACCATCCTCCCATTCACTACCCTATGAGCCATTCATCCATCCATATGTCTACCCACCAATCTCCCACCTATCTTGCATATCCAGCAAAATGTACTGAGTGTTTATTCTGGGCCTATTCATGTTCTAAGCACCAGGTTCTAGGTGTAGATCTGTTCAATGCAACTCAGAGTTCATTCATGGACACAGATATGAAACTCAGCACAGGGAACAACACAGAAAACCAGTGACAGGAAGTTAGAGCACGTGACAAGTCTTGGTCTAATGAACAAGCAGAAATTTCCAGGTAAAAGACATCTACCTTGGTGCTCTTTGGAGTCCCTCATTCTAAGTCCAGGACTGGTCCTAGAACAGAAGTATGGCGAAGGCAGAGGTAGGGCACCGTAACCATCAATGAGGAGAGATAAGGAGAGGAGGGACAAAGACCCAGGCGGATCCTTACCCAGGCTTCACCAAGAAATTAGGTGAGGGAAGGGCCCCAAAATGTCATTTATCCCAGGTCCAAAGACATAAATTTTATCTCACCTACTTGGAAAGTGAGATCCTTGGATAGGACGGGAAATTAGGCAAGACGGAACGGGATAGAACAACTAGAAATTCTGAGTTTTCATTTACTTTCAAGAAAATTTAGAGAAAGATTCACCTTATTTGGGGGCCATCGGACCCATTGGACATTTACAGACTCTGTGGGTCTTCAGCCTCTGTCCTCACTAAAGACATCACCTTCATTCTCTTTAGACGCACTATTCCTCTCTACCTTCAACTCTATAGTAAAATATTATATCCACACCAGTATAAGAAGATTCCTTAGTGACCAGTGGCAAGAGCTTAAATGCTCAGCTCCCTCTTAACTTTATCTCTGACACTCGCTGAGTGACATTGAGTCAGCATCGTCACTATTCAGGGCCTTATGGTCTCTATCTGTAAGATGAGAAAATGGGACTCGATGGTCCTCAGAGTCCTTCCACCTCGACACTTCAGCTTTTCACTCCCTCCTGGGCTGAGACGGCGCTGCTTAAGACGTCTTGGTTGTTCATTAGAAATTCCATTCCCTGGACTCTTTCTGGGTTCTAGTGAGATCGTGATGTTGGTGAGATGGGATTTTTTTTTTTTACGCCTACAACACCAGGTCTTCTTAGGTGGTCTCCCATCCAAGTACTAACCAGGCCTGACCCTGCTTAGCTTCCAAGATCAGACAAGATCAGGCATGTTCAGGGTGGCATGGCTGTAGATTTAGATGGGATTCTGTAGTGTAAGTGCTTGACATCAAGCTTTTGATTTCAAGGGCATCCATTTTGAATAAACATATTGCCAGATGTATGATACAGATATTAACAAAATAACTACTAGATAAGGAACCAGGCTCCTCCCACCCATGAAGTTCCCTTAGAGAGCCCTGAGTACCCTAGATAACTGACCTCTTGAGTGACCCTGTCTCTCCCTTCCCATGCCCTAATTCCCACTTTTATGCTTTAAATTCTCTAATAAAGAGTGAACCTGTGAAACCCCAGACACCCTACACTTGGACCTTAATAAAGGCAGAGCCCCAGATCTGCACTGTCTCCCCTCCCTCCACCCTCAACCTTGCTGTGTGGCCCTCCAGGCTGCCATGTACCCTCCAGGATCTGTGAGTAATAAATGTTGTTCTTCAAAGTTCCCTAATGGTTTTGTAGAGGAGAGTCCTGCAATCATAATAAGAACCACAGGGCTGGTCCAGCCACAACATTGGCCCTTGTGGTGGTAGGGAGGGCTGTCTGTGGGGCTTACTACAAGAGTAAATGCAGCCGTGCCTGAGTGTCTCAGGCATTCCTAGCCAAGAACATCACTACCAATAGGCTAAGGGGCTCTGTCTGTGATCTTAAATTTTGTGACTATATAGCCACTCGCTGATGATAAAGCTGGATTTGTCTAGCTTCTGTCCAACAGGTAGGAACGTTCAAGAACAAAGTTTGGCCCCAAAGTGCAATACTTAGTTAGGGAAGAAAATGGGAACTCTACAGATGACATTCACTCTTTGAAGAGTGTCTCTCCCTCTAGGAAGACTGACTGGCTTGTGTTGTGGATCCCGTGGCTGTTAGAAAGCTGCCAAGTAGTTCAGCACACACTTGCCAGCAGCCCTGCCACTGTTCCATTTAGAATCCGGCATTATTGACCTTTATTGCATTGTAGTCTCTTAGGAAGCGCTCTTCAATTCACAGTTCCTCCTCAGACAACAAGACATTTGCACCAATGCTGGTAGCTCCTTGTAAGCTCTGACATTCTTTCCTGCTCTTAAAGTAGCACAACCTTGACAAATATTATCTGCACACTCTGCTATCACCCTGCTTCCTCCTCCACACCGCACTCTGTGGTAACATCTTTACTCTTTGGCCTTAGTCAAAGAATATGAGTGACCCAGAGAGAAAAGGGAGAAAGATGGGAAGAAAGTGTGGGAGAGGGAGAAAGAGGCACAGAGAGCCTGGGGGACCCACAGAAAAAGAAAAAGTCAGACATAGACACAGAGAGGCACAGAGAAACAAAAGAGATACCAAGAGATCCAAAAGACACGTTGTCAGAGACAAACAAAAGCAGTGTGCCAGTTAGTGTGCAGATAAAATGAGAAATAACTGAAGATTGAGGACACTCCACAACTCTCAGAATTACGAAGATGACTCCATTCACTCCTAAGGTAGCCTGGAAAGTGAGACAAGCTTTGCCCACTCCCCCCTCATTGACTAGAGGGCCCAGGCCAGCCTAAGTGGCTAAGGATCAGGAGCCATCCAGTAAGAGACCCTTCCCCAGTGCCGTGAGCTGTAGATGCCAACTAGTCATATTGATGATCTCAAGAACTTGGTGTTCCCAGCAGAAGGGGGTGGCTGGCTTGACTCCAGAACGCAAATCCAAGATACAGACTACTGAAGGAATAGGCTGGACAAAGGCAGCCAGACATTTTCGTGTTCTGGAACCGCCGGACAAGCCAGCTCTTCTTCAGAATGGTGTCTCCCGGACTTGTGAGCATCCTGGTGCTTTCTACCCTTCTAGTGACTGTCCAGGGGCCAAGTCTGAGTGAATGGCTCTTTCCCAGTAAGTACTGGGGCCTCAATACCTGTCCTGGAGAGAAGAAAGTTTGCTGGGAGGAAAGACCAAGGAAAAATTATTTCTCAGACTTGAGTTGCTTTTCACCATCTTAGCCCTGGCCCTGGGTTTGGGAAAGAGGGGGAGGTATTTGGAATATTTCTTCCTATTTCGCTCTCTGTGGAAGATCTCTTTCACGAATGCAAGAATCCAGACCTAAGGCAAACCCCACTTTCAGCATCTTTGAAGTAGAGGGTCTTTCTTGGGGGCAGGAGGTGAGAGGGTGGGAAGAGCCACAGGATATAGCATTTGTGGGAGGGACTAGGAATCTGCAAAGCCTAGGGGATCTTCCCCTCACTCCACCACAAAAATAGCCCCCTTTCTCTGGGCATCATCCCTATTGACTTCTGATTCTTTCAAATACAGTCCTATAAAGGATTCCTGGATCCCTAAGTGTTCCTGACTTTGGGATAAAGGACAGTATCTAGACATTCCTTTGAACTTAAGACAGTAATACTCCATGACTATATAGTAATAATGATAATTGTTACCATTTACAGAAAATAGGAGTTTAAAGAGGAATATGAAGTCAGACTTGGTGGGTCCAAATTTTGGTCTCACCACTTAGTAGGCATGTAAGCTCGGTAAGTTACTTAAATCCCATATGCTTCAGTTTCCTCATCTGCAAAATGAGGATATTAATGGAACTTACTTCATAGAACTATTATGGGGATTGAATGAGAAAGCACATTTAAAATGCTTAGAAGATGCTTGGCTTATGGTAAATACTTAACAAATGTTAGTTACTGTTACTGTGCATCAGTTGTTATGATTATACTTTACACATTTTGTCTCATTTCTTTCTCGCAACTCTGTAAGGCTAAAACGATTTTACGAATGAAGAAATCAACGTTCAGAGAGGGGATCTGTTAAACCAAGAGTTAGAATTTAAAAATCCAGTCTGAAGCCAGGGTCAGTGATCTATTTATCACTGTACAAGAGCGCCCCCCAGAGGAACTTCCAAACACTGACTCCTCCACTCCCAAATGAGCAGGTTCATTTAGGCCAGTGGTTTCCATAGGGCGATTTTGCCTTCCTGGGGGCATTTGCAATGTCTGGAGACATTTTTGGTTGTTACAACTGGGGAGTGCTACTGGCATCCAGTGGGTAGAGGCCAGGAGTGCTGCTAAACATCTTACAATGCACGGGAAGGCCCTTCCCCTCCCATCAAATGATTATCCAGCCCAAAGGTCACTAGTGCCAAGGTTGAGAAATCCTTCCAAAGGATGAGACTTGGGGGTGGGACTAGGGATGGGTTTAGAAGGTAGAGAGAGTCGTGTGGGCAGTGCTGGGAAATGAATGAGCACACCTTGAGGAAGAGGACTTCTGGGGATAAGCAAAGCAAAAGCAGACTTTCTGACTCCCCAGGCATGCCTTGGGTCTGGGGAAGAGTGGGCATTGTACCCTCTAAGACTCGTGATTGAAAGGTTGTCCCTTTCCTAGGGAGATGCCCCAGAATCCGAGAGAAATGTAAATTCAAAGAAAGAGATGAATGTAAAAAGGACAGACAATGCCCGGAAAACAAGAAGTGTTGTGTCTTCAGTTGCGGAAAAAAATGTTTAGACCTCCAACAAGGTAATGTTTAGGCCCTCAGAAGAACCCATCCTTCAACCCATGCCCTCACTTTCTGCCCATCTGGGCTGGCATTGTCCCTAGTTCGCTAAGGGCCGGTCTCTGAACAAGATTGCTGGACGGGAGACCCAGAATCTCCATTCAGCACTGTCCCTAATATGATGTCTGACATTAAGTGATATCTTCATTCTGTCTGGGCCTCAGTTTCCCCATTCAAAGACGGGTGCAGGGGTGGGACTGAACTGGGTAATCTCTTGACTACTTTTTATTCTTATTATTTTCTGAGTCCCCACGTAGCCACTGTTGGCCCACTATATTGTTGTTGCAAGTGATAATGAAGCAATATGTACAGCTTTGCTTTTTGCTCCAGAGTGACCATCTCTCTGCCTATACAAATCTGACTCATCACCAGGAAACCTCCCTGAACCACTCCAGACCACAGGGTTTTTCCTTTGTTGCTGCAATATTCATTCCATACCCACCTCCCTGCGTCCCAGAAAGACTATCAAAGATACTTTCTTTATTCATTTAACAAATATTTATCAAATGTCTCTGAGACTCATAATAGGTCATGACCACTGTGATCAGGGAGGTTGGAGAAAACTTCCCTGAGAAAGTAAAGCTGGAGCTGAGTTCAGAAGGGCAGGTAGGAAATTTAGGCCAAAAGTAGGTGGAAGGGCTTCCCAGGCACAAGGAATAGCATGTATTCAATACTGGGCCCTAGGAAGTATGAGCATGGTGTACAGAAAAAAAAGATAGCAGGTAGGTAATGTCTGGTGGGCTAGAGTCTCATTTTAATCCTAAGAGCAATGAAAATCCATTGAGGAAGGCGGTGACATGCCCGGGTTTTTACTATGCCTACAGAGAAGGAACAGAATGTCTTCAAGGACTTCAGAATGAAAGAAAATAGTAGCTTGGACTAGAGAGTTAGCTGAGGGGATGGAGAAGAGTGAGATGTGTTTGAAAGGTATTTAGGATGTAAAGTAAACAGGACTTGACAATGGAACAGAAGGAGAAAGCGGGAGGGTGGTAAGTTGTTCATTTGCCTGCAGGTGAGGGATTCTGAATTCAGACTTCCTGAGTTCAGATCTTAGCTCCCGTTTTCACCAGCCTATTTGTCTTGGGCAAATTATCAGCTTTCCCTTGCTGTCCCTCAGTTTCCTCAGATAACAAAAGGACCAATGTTAAAGGTTATTTGGAAGAGCCGATCCGTTGATGACATGAAGTGCTTAGAGCATTGCCTGACATATAATAGCCTTGTGACATGTAGGAACTTAAATTATTTGTCATTTGTGACCAGGAGCTTGTAAATAGCAGAGGCCATGCCTTTTCTTTGTCTCTTAAAGCATCTATCTAGCACATAGTAGGTATTCAATGAATGACTTATTCAATCCAGGTCAAAAATTCTTTATTCATTCATTGTTGTACCCTCAACATTCTGCCAGACCACCTGCTAGGAATGGGGTTTCAAGATGATATCAGAGACAATCCTGTTCATTAGAAACTCACAGCCTCACAGATGAGACCAAAGATGTAAATAAATGACAAACATGCTCATGAGAGTCAAAGGACCATAGAAAAATGCAGGGTCAATTCGGGCACCTGTGAAGTGTGAGATGTAGAATAATGTCAGAGACACATTAGAGGAATTGGTGTCTGAGAAAGGTTTTGAAGGGAGAATAGGAGTGTCACTAACAAACAACAGTGGGGTGGGCAGAGGGAATATGGAGTGAGGTGCAGAGTGTGGCATAGCATGGCACGTTGAAGGTTGCAAGAGATCAGAAGGGTCTGTGGTAGGGGAGGAGGCCAGAGCCACTGGCAAGAGCCAGGTCATGAAGGGCCTGTGGGTCATGGGAAGACCTTGTCATGAAGTCTAGCTCTTTGCTGTGGAAGGATGTGATCAGCTTCGTTTCAGATCCATCAAGTCCTGCTCTCTGGTGGGCAGCATGAAGGATGGGTTGGAGGGGCCAGGGACAGAGGCAGGAAGTCAATTTGAGGCTATCTCAACAGCCCAGGCATGAGACCCTGAGACTTAAATTAAAGAGAGTGGCAGATGTGGTACATATAGAATGGAATATCACTCGGCCATAAAAAGAATGAAATCTTACCATTTACGACAACACGAATGGACCTAGAGGGTATTATGCTAAGTGAAATAAGTCAGACAGAGAAAGACAAATGCCATATGAGTTCACTTATATGTGGAATCTAAAGAACAAAATAAATGAACAAACAAAACAGAAACAGACTCGTAGATACAGAGAATGAACTGAGGTTTACCCAACGGGATAGGAGTTGGGAGGGCTGGGTGAAAAAGGTGAAAGGATTTAGAAGTACAAATTAGAGTTATAAAAATAGTCACAGGGACGGCAAATACAGCACAGGGAATATATAGTCCATAATATTGTAATAAATATGTATGGTGTTAGGTGGGTACTAGACTTATTGGAGGATCAATTCATAAGTTACATAAATGTCTAATCAATATGCTGTACACCTGGAACTAATATAATATTGAATGTCAACTGTAATTGAAAAATAAATAAGTAAATAAAAATTTAAAGACAGTGGCAGAGAAGCAAACCACAAGGAAGTAAAAATCAACAGGACTTAACAGTTTAGCTGAGGGATTTACCCTCATGGAACTCATTGTTTAGTTCGGACCTATGTCAGTTTGTTAAGGCTGCTGTCAAAGTGTCCCACAGACTGGGTGGCTTAAACAGCAGGAGTATTGTCTCACAGTTCTGTAGGCTGGAAGTCCAAGATCAAGTGTTGGCAGGGTTGGTTCTTTCTCAGAGTATGAGGGAGAATGTGTTCCATGGCTTTCCCCGAACTTCTGATGGTTTGCTGCCAGTCTTTGGTGTTCCTTGGCTTGTAGACCTGTCTTCATCTTTACATGGTATTCTCCCTATGTGTGTCTGTGTCCTAGTTTCTCCTTTTTATAAGGCCATCAGCCATATGGGAGTAGGGATGCATCCTATTCCAGCATGACTCATCTTAACTAATTACTTCTGCCACTACTCTATTTCCAGATAAGGTCACATTCTCAGGTACCAAGAGTTAGGTCTTTAACATATGAATGGGGGTGGCTTGAGACAGCAATTCAACTGGTAGCAGGGCTGAAGCTAACTGCAGGAAGAAAAGGTGCTTGACCATGTGGAAAACCACCCCCTGCTTTCCCTGCGTGGACTTGCCCTTGGTCACGATCCCCGTAGTATTTTCTTGGCATGGTTTGGATGGCAGAGTAAATGGCTTATAATGGGTCATTTTCAAGGCACTTCCATATCTTTCATCCACTCAGGGTATATTTATTGAGCAGAGCTACTCTCTCTGCCAGGCACAGTGGAGCTCACAGCTTAGAAGCCCTTGAGGGTGGCTTCACTTGCACCTCAGGGCAGCCCGGTGCAGCCAGCAGGGTGGGATTTTGCATTCCCATTTTACAGAAAAGAAAGTCCAGGACAAGACAGGTAACATTCCGGAGCTCAATTGGCACACACTGAATGAGGAGCAGAGTCTTGAAACCAGAGCCTTCTTACTCTCAGGGGAGACAATGAGGCCAGAAGAAAAAGGGAGGACCAGTGTTCTCCTGGGATGTTGACACCCACAAAGCTCCACTTTGGAGCCCCCCTGCAAACGTGCACGATGCATCATTGAAGCTGGGCCTCCGAGGTATGTGTAATAAGGCGTAAGGAGCCTGCTCAGTTTCATCTATGGCAGTTGCTCGTGGGACATTAACAGCTGCATTTTTTCGAGATAGGCACTCTAAGCTTTCAACTCTGGGGTTTTCCTGCAGATGTATGCAAGATGCCAAAAGACTCTGGCCCCTGCATGGCTTTTTTTCGTCGTTGGTGGTATGATAACCATAATGATACCTGCTTCAGCTTCATCTACGGCGGCTGTCAAGGAAACAGTAACAACTTCCAAACCAAAGACATATGCCAGAACATGTGCCTCAAAAACCGTGAGTCCCAAGGGCCCCAGGCTCCCATGCTCTCACCAGAGCCATGCGGGGATGTCTGGGTGTTGGCAGGTCCGTTCCAGGAGAGCCACATCCTCGGCAGACCAGGAGCTGACAGAACCAGCTCCATTCAGGAGCAAGAATACATCTCACAGAGGGTTAGACAGTGGTTTCTGGACGCTGAAGTTAGGAAGGGATGTGAATCAAAGCTGGCAAGGATGACGGGTGGAGGGAAGATGCAGACTTGATAAAATCTCAGAGACCCAGCTTCAGAGAGGTCACAGGACAGCCACTCTCGCGCTGGATATGTTGACCATCCACCCCAGGCCGTCAATTTCCAGGCCATCAATTTTTTCATTACAGCTCTTTGCTAGCAATCCACTCTTATCCACATCCCATTTTTTCTTTAAGGAGATTTATAGATTCCCAAAGTTAAACCACTTCCTTTTCATGTCCTACGGAAAGATGTACAAACATAAATTTCAAGACTAGTTCCACAGATGAGCTGAGCTCAAGATGTTCAGCTGATCGTGTCTTACATTCTCAACAGGCTTAAAGACTATACATGCATGAGAATACGCCAGAACAACCGCCAGGATTTGGCTTGGATCCAAGGCTCTTTGTCTGTGTGCCCGACAGATGCTGTAGGGTGGTTTCCACTGCTCCACTCCCAGCATGTCAAGGCCTCAGCCCTTCCCCAAACTGAACGCCAGGGTCTGCCTCCCCTTTCCCCTTCTCAGCCTCCTTTCATACACAATATCAGCCTGTTTTGATGCCATCCCTATGCCTCCTTCTTTTATGTTCAACTTCTGGAGCCCCCTGTTTATACCTGTGTAGCTACCAATTTTTCTCAATAAAGTACTCTGTTTGGCCCTGCGCCTCTGAGGCTGAATAATTCACATCTGTTGGCACATCATGGTTTGTGGAGAGTAAAAACTTATCGAGGCTTCTGGAGACACCATTAAACGGAGTGAAGAAAATCAGCACCTTGAAAGTTGAGAGCCCCGGCGATATTGTTATCCTCTGTTTCTTCAAAAAATTGTAAACCCTTTTAAGACAAAGGTCCACAGGCATTACCTTAGTTTGGAGCCCCCAGAAACCAATCCTAAGGCAAGGGCGTAAGTGAAAGTAGTTTATTTGGGAGATGACAGTAGGGGGCAGGGAAAATGATGCAGGAAAGAGAGGAGTCGATTATGAGCTCGTTACCACCGTGGGAAACGGTAGCTTTATCCCACTGGGGACCTTCTGTAAAACATGCCTCCACATTTTCTTCATCTGCCTCCAGTTATGGGGAAGCCGCAGCCTGTGTCCACTGATTCCCATCCCCTACTGGATGCCTGGGGGTATGAAATCCCTCATTATTCCAGACTTTTCTGCATGTAAGCTAAGCAAGCTCCCAGGAGCCAGAGAAAACCTACAGCATTGACGTAGAGACTCTGATGCTTGAAGCAGAAAGCTATCACTGCTTCGTGCACTGGATATTATTCTGCCATAAGAAGGAACGAGGCATTAATGCATGTTACACTGTGGATGAGCCTCAGAAACATTATGCTAAGTGAAAGAAGCCAGACACGAAAGGTCATACACGCTATGATGTCATTTATATAAAGTTTCCAGTGTAGGTAAATCCATAGAGGTAGAAAGTAGATTAGTGGTTGCCAGGGGCTGGAGGAATCTAGGGGAAAATAGAGAGTGACTGCTAACGGGTATGGGGTTTTCTTTTGGAGCAATGAAAATGTTTTGAATTAATAAAATGAAGATAGTGGTTACACAACATTATGAAGATACTAAAAAGCTGCTGAAATATTCGCTTAAAAAATGGTTACTGTTATCTGATGTGAATTCTACTTCAATTAAAAAAAAATCGATTAGGGGGGAAATGTGCACCAGAACTGTCTCCTACAGCTGCAGGTGAGCTTAGAGAACGTCTTACTGATGCTTCAGGCCTTACATTGGAAACTTCAAAGGAACGATCTTCAGGCCACTCCCACTGATGCAACGGGCTCTGAGGTCATAACTGACATCTATTATTACCTTCTGCATCACCGATTCCAAACCGCTCTAGATAATGGAACCTCTCTGTTCGCTCTAATATTCTCTCCTACTTTCAAAGCACCATGACCTTGACAGATACTCTGGAAGGTTGAGTTCAATCTGGAATTAGCCTGTCTCCTTCTCTATATGCTATGCATGACAATACCTTTACTCTTTGACCATAGTTAGCGGGGTGGGCCAAAGAGAAGAAAGGGGAAAAAGACAGAAAGGAAATGGAAAGGCAGAGAGAAAGAGACCCACACAAGAAAAAGAGAGAAAGACAGGCACAGAGTAAAAGAAAGAGGAACAGAGAGAAGAAAAATAGTGTGAGAAAAATAAGCAGACACAAACATAGACATGTTTGGAAAAGAGAAAGAATGGAAAGAAAGACGAGAAGTAGGCTTATTCTTGACTTCCAAACTCTCCCTGAAAAACGGAAGCCCCGGTAATCGAACACCCCCTCCGTGAAAGGAGCCCCCAGATAAGCATCGCCTGCTCTCTCTCTGGTTGACCAGAGAGCCAGCGAGAGCCTCAGCTCGCTGAGGATTTTGTGCTACCTATAAGAAACCCCTTCCCCCAAGTTGGTCCTGTGGGTGCCAGCTAGTCCCACCTATGGCCTCAGGGAGTTGGTGTTCCCCGGAGGCGGGAGGGCAGCTGGCTTGTCTCCAGCAACATGTGGCTCCTGGAGTGTTAGGCTGCGCCAGGACCGTCAAAAGCTCAGAGGCAGTTGCTGCTCAGAAGTAGTTCTTAGTTTTGGTGCCACTGGCCAGGCTGGCCCCTCCTAAAATGGGGCTCTCGGGACTTCTACCAATCCTGGTGCCATTCATCCTTCTGGGGGGTGTCCAGGAACCTGAGCTGGTTCAGGGGTTCTTTCACAGTAAGTACTGGGGACTCAGCCCTTCCAGTAGAGGAACAGAACTTGGCTGGGAGGAAGGAACAAAGAATTCTAGGGCTGAGGAACGCTTTCCCCACCTCAGCCTGGGATCCTGGGTGGGAGAGGGGAGATGTTTGGGGTCATCCTTTCAGTCCCCTTCCTCCTGGTAAGATGTCCTCGGTGAATGCAGGAGTCTGAGTCTGTGGCAACTGACTCTCCACTGTCATTCTGAGAGGACATTTCACTTCACGGAAGTTCCTGGACCTGGAGCTCACGACAGGGACTAAGGGAACTTGGGAAGCTTTAGGGTCTTTCTCATAAGAAAGGCCACTCCCGCAGCACCACCCCCTCCAGCTTCCCAATCTTCCCGTTGCAGCCCCCCAAAGCCTTCCCACACCGACACCCACAGGGGATTCTTGCCTTTGGGGGTAAAGAATGGTCTCTGGAAGTCTCTCGAAATGGTGAGATGTGAAGACCCCTATAATTCGCAGCTAAATATATAGCACAGTCAGACAGCAGTGGAGCCATACATCGCAGGTTCATATCCTGGCTCCGTTCCTTAGTAGTCATATGACCTTGGGCAAGTTCACATCTCCTCCCTGTGCTTCAGAGTCCTCTGTTTATAAAATGTGAATACTAAGAGGGCTCACCTGTAGCGCCGTAATGAGGACTAAGGGGGCAAGGACCAGTGAGCATTTCATCAGTACTAGTTATTGTTATTACGTTCCAGGCAGCTTGACAACGGCTTGACAAGCTTTGTCACATTGATCCTCAAAACAGTGCTGTAGGCAAATGAGGGAATCAAGGTTCAGAGATGGTGCCTGCCTTACCAAGGGTTGTGCAGGATTCAAAAGCCTGGTCCTCTGACTCCAGAAACAAAGATCTCCGTCACCAAGACCTGTGGTGCCCCCGTCCGCACGCAAGGAGCTTCCAAACACAGGAAGCAGAGTGATCAGGGCCATCTTAGGGGAGAGCGTCCTTTCCCCTGAAACTCTCTGGGCCGTGGGGTAGGGGTAGGGCTGGGTTTAGCAATAAGATAGTGAGTCGTTATGGGGTTGGGGGTCGGGGCAGCGGTGTGAAAATCATGAGCGCTCTGAAGGTCCCTACTTTCCGGCGCCATGAAGTGAAGACAAGTTCCCTGATTCTGCAGTGGTCCCATGGACCTATGACTGGAGGGCTCTGACCCCTTCAAGGTCCCCTCTTCCCCTCCCTCAGGACTGTGTCCCAGATCGAGAACAAAATGTGAAATCCAAGAAATAAATCAGTGTACGAAGAGCAAACACTGCCCGGAGAGGATGAAGTGTTGCAAGTTTAACTGTGCAAAGAAATGTTTAAACCTTAAAGAAGGTAACTCACAAATCCCTCCAACTCTCCAAAGCCCTCCTCCCCTGCCCGCACTTTCAGCCCAGCTGCATCGGCATCATTGGACCCTTCCCCTGCTTCACTGATGGCTGGTGTCTGACCAAGGGTCTGGGTGTGTCTTCTACTTGATACAAATCCTACCAGTGCTAGACTGGGGTGGGTGTGGGGATCATGGTTTTATTTCATTTATGCTGCTATTTAGGTGTGTGATATGAGTAGTATCATTTTCCTTTTATGGGCTTTAGTTTCCCTAGCTGTAAGGAAGATGAGGGCATTAGACCACATGGTCTCTTGGTTGAGCTTCGTGATCCTCCGAGATGCCAAGAAGCCATGAAATCCCATGAAATGCTGCTATGGTGTCAGGTGATAGGATAGCTATAAGAGACACGTACACGATTTTTATTTCCTGGCTTTTTCCCCTCCAGGCCTCTCTGTCTATATAAATCCAGGGTGCCTTCCCTAACCACCTTTTTCTCTCTGCCCATATCCCTAGGCTTTAAAGAAGACCATCAAGGAGTATTCATCCATGCATTCATTCCACAAATATTTACAGGTGCCCCTGACACACCGTGAAGGGCTTCCCTTGCTCAGTGGAACTCAGGGAACTCAGGAAAGGTTTTCCTGGAAAAGGGATTCGTGATTTAACATCTGAAAGATCTTAAACTATAAGGTTATAAGGAACTCTATTTGTACCTCACAGCACTATGCACAAAACAGTTGCTCTATAAATGCTTCTTGAAGTTCAAGATACATTAGATCGTTTTTTTAAATCTTTTTTCTTTTTTATTATTAAAAATTATTGAGGTAACATTGGGCAACAAAATCCAATAAGCCGGAAGTGTATGATTCAACGGTATGTCGTAAATATATTGCAATATGTGTTCACTGCCCATAGTTAGTAAACATTCCTGAAGCATCCACTCGATGCCAAATTATCTGCTAAGAACTTGTGTACCTAGATGACATAGGGCATAAATCTCACGTCCTCATGGAAGTGTCAGAAAATATAAACAAATAACTACATAGAAGTGGTAAATGTTTGTGCAAGATTGAGAAGCAATCAAGAAAAACACGGGGTAGAGAGTAGAGCCAGGAAAGACGTCATAGAAGCGTTTGATGTCTGAGAAGGGTTTTGAGGCGTGAAAAGCAATGCACCCTGTGAGCAAGGGTGGGATGGACGTTCTAGGCATATGCTGCTCTGAAAGCATCACACATGTGCCTTTGCACATGCCTGGGATGTTCTCTAGGGAGCAGGCACCCAAACTGCTCTACCCTGCAATCTCCCTGCAGACATATGCAGTTTGCCAAAAGTAGAGGGCCCGTGCATGGCCTACATTCCACGCTGGTGGTATGATAGAAATACTCAGATGTGCTTCAGATTCATCTATGGTGGTTGCCAAGGGAACAATAACAACTTCCAATCTAAATATGTCTGCCAGGACATCTGCCAAAAAAAATGTAAGTCCCAGGGGTCCCAGAGTCCCATGCACACCAGGGCCATGCTGGGAGGTCTGGGTGTTGGCTGGTCTATTCCAAGAACTTGGCAGGTTTGGGGCTGATCTAACTAATCCAATCAGGAGGTAAGATGGGACAAGTAGAGGATGTTTTGGGAAAAAGAGGGTGGGAAGGGAAGCAGTAGTCACAATTGGCAAGCATAAAATGAATAGGGGTGCAGAGAGGAAGCGGAAGGGGTGGAGTGTCCAATACCAAGTCAGGAGAAGGCCCAGTGAATCAGCCCAGCGCTAGGCACCAGGCACCAGCCAGTCACTCTAGGCCTTTACTTCTCACCGAATCTCCTCACTGATTCTCTTCCTTTTCTTTCTTAAGGTGAGTATAGCCTGGACAATCACATGCTTTATTGACCAAACCAAGAAACCAGAGAGAGTGGAAGGAGGTGCCACTAATCATTATACTGGAACGACAGGCATAAACGGGGACTCTACTGGAAAACCAAAACACACGATCACTCTAGGAGCCCCCAAAGTCACTCCACTGTGACTTTGTCCTGTGAAAAGATGTAGAAATGTTCTCACTTCCCTTTTTCCACTAACTGCAAGATTCGGTTCCTAAGGGGATTAGGGCCTAAGCATCTCATTCTTTTCTATTTTGAGTTGCAGATGTTCGGCTTGTTGTTATTTCAAGGGGAGAGATCCAGGGAGACCCCTCACCTGGCCATGCTTCTGACGTCACTTCTCATCCTTTTCTATTTTGCTGTCTCATGGTTTCATCGTATTTTTGGATATGATAACCTGAACTGGAACAACCTCCAGGATTTGGCTCATAATCCAGGCTTGCTCCATGTGTGCCTGACTGATGCTCCATATTGGTTTCCACTGGCCAAATCTCAGCTGCCAAGACCTTGGATGTTCCAAACGTGAACTTCAGGATTTGCTTACTGCCTTTCCTCCAGTTCAGCTTCTCTTTGAACATAATGTCCTTCACCCTTTGACCCTTTCTCAGTGTGTGACCCTGTCTCTTTAACTTTCAGGGCCCCCATTCATCCTTTGGAAGCCTCCAGCTTTCCCTAATAAAGTGCTCTGTGAGGTCTGATATCTCTGAGGCTGAATAATTCACATCTGCTCCCTGTGTGCAGTTCTCAGAGAAGAAGAAGTCATTGGGTCTTCTAGTGATGCCAAAAAGGGGAGAGAGGAGTATGAAAATCCTGCAGATTGAGAACTCTGGTGACACTTGTCATAAGGTGCTTAAGATCCCAGTTTTGTATACCCTAAAGTTTATGAAGTTAGAGTTCCTTTTAAAAATGAATACGAATTCAGTTAAAAAGTGAATATTATTTCAAATGAGAAAGAAAATTACAATCGATTGTAAATTTAGAAAAGCTAACAAATATCACAAATTACACAAAATCCATATAGATTAATTATTAATTAATTTTTAAAAACTAATTGATTCCTATGGAAAGATAATTCAGTCTTTTGTTGAATAGAGCTAACCAAACAATGATTGTATTTTGATTTCGATTGTAGTTGGGCTGCATAAGATACATCCTGAACGTACAGCCGTATATGATATTTGGAGTTCTACCACAGGTTTTTGCCCTTAAAACACAGGAAGTCAAATACATTCTCTCTTGTACAATTCCATCAAAAAAGAAAAAAATGCATGCTGCATTTAACATTGTACATATTGAATTATTGAGTATATTCTTGCTAGTAAACAGGCTTCCATAAGAAGTGATTTTTTTTTATATATTTATAAATTTATGTATCTGATGTTTGGAAGAATTTTCCACAGACAGATTTTTCTGGCTTCATAGATCTCAAAGCTTGTTTCTCTTCCACCGCCTGCATTTTTCTGGGGTGGATACATTCCATTAAAACACAACCTCTAGCTCCATGATGTAGCGTCATCACGTCAGAGAACTGGCACAGTAGTAGGTGACAGGAATTTTGCTAAGAGCCATTCCTACATCAGGACAGAGAGCGTCAACTTATAATACATAGAAGTGACGGAGAACAACCTAAATATAGGCCATTGACTCTAAACTAAATATATCCCCAACTCAACTTCCTTGTAGCTGGATGCCAAAGATGCTAGCAGCCATTCTGTCACCGCCTGGCCCAGGAGAAGTGTGACACAGGGAAAGTCAGAGTGGAAAGGGAGGGCGGTAGGACTGGTTATGGTTAGAATATCTTACTTTGACAGATAATACAAATCACGTGACCACGTGAACATATTACTTGGGCCACTCCCAGAGTCTTAAAGGGGCTGCTCAAGTGAGGGGCACTGAAGTTTGAGCTCCATCAACTTCAAGATCCATCTCTAAAAGGGCTGGTGAGTTTGTTTCTTGGGCCTTCAGTAAAGGGGACGGTCTCAAGGTACAGCACAAAAATTAAAAAATAGAAGAAAACGGAGAGAGTCTTGAAAGAAGGAGATATGGGGAAGCAAAGAGGAGATGAAGAAAGGAGGGATGAAGAAAGAAAAGATATTGGACCATGGAAAAGTTTAAAAGCTAAGGCACGAAAGGAACAATTTCATCGCAAACAGACACACAAATATAGAAGACCATCTAGTGTCGGCCAGAGGGGAGGAGGATGGGGTGATGGGAGAAAGGGGTGAAGGGTTAAAGAAGTACAAATTAGTAGTTGATAGATGGTCACGGGGATGGGGAGCACGGCATAGGGGATGCAGACAGCAGTAATGTAATGGCTGGTGGAGAGCCAGAGGGAAGACAGAGAGTAATCAGGGGGATCGTTTCATAAACTATATAAATGTCTAACCAATGTACCGTATACTTGAAACTAATAATAAAATAAAATTTTAAAAAATAAATAATTTAAATTATGTTATACATTTAAATAAAAGAATTTTTAAACTCTTGTGATTTTTAATGCAAAAATAAAACATAATAAAAATATAATTTTTTCATTTAAAAAAAAAAAGCAGGGTCGCAGCCTGACCCCGACCCCGCATGCTGACCCTGAGCTCCCGGCCTCCCCCTCCCCTTCCCGGAAGTCATTATGTGACTAACACATTTTCATCAGATTTCTTGTGATTTACCCTGAAGTATATGTGAGGATGGTGTGCACGGACAAGAA